ATTATTATTATTAATGTTAGGCACCAGAGAATGACTCATGTCATATTAAAATGTCCATGTGGATTATTGTGCATCTCCATTGTTTAGGAATTTGTCACGGTAAGAATAAGTAAGCCAAACATTATTCTGTGAAGAAAATCTTTGCTATTGAGTGCTTCGGAACATAGGGACAGATCTTGGGTGGATTCTCCAGAAGAGTCAAGAAGGGTCCAATTTCAAGCATTGATCCAAGTGTTTTGCTCAGTGACCTCAGTTGGAATAGTAGAATAAAATTATATCATTTGGTTTTTTCAATTTCCCAACAAATGCAGGAAAGAGAATGTTATTGACACTATGAAGGAAAACTATGATCACTGCTAGAGCAGGAAAAAGCAATCCAAGGAACGTGATTTTCCTTCTAGATACTTGACTGATTGTACGAAACTGTCCATTCCTTCACTTGTACCTGACTAGCGGGCATGAGCCCTCCCTCAGACTAGAACACTTGAAATCTGGGTCCACACAATCCAGATTTCTTTTGGGAGGTTCCAATAAAATCCATTTCTTTTTCAGATCCAGGATACCTTGATTCTGTCAGGAATCATTATACTGAATGATGAGTGTGGGATCCTGGCCCTGACTGGATTTTTGAAAAGTGAACTGGAAAAGTAATCTGGAAAGGTCTTCAATTAGATTTGTTTGGTCAGTGTTTGGATTTAATTTCCAAAATGTTGTTTCGATTTCCTTGTTACTGCCAAAACAGCAAAAATTACAGATAGGAGCTTGAGCAATCTAGTTACCTAGAAGGAAGGTGAAAGGAAGCAGGAAATCTGATGGGGAATATTTCCATTTCCTTACTGCAGCTACTCAGGTTGGTAAGACATGCCCTTTGATCTGAGCTCTAGGACTGATGGAATTTAAGGGACAGGACCATGTCATTCATTCATTCTTGGGGCTTGTTTAGTCTGTAGTTTTGGAGATGTTATTTCTTCAGATACTAGAACTCCTGTGGCCATGTTCAGCTGGAATGACATAGATGGAGACCACTCCATCCTTTTCAGCTTCCTTCCTTTTCTTTCTCCTTCCACTGCAATATAACTAATATAAAACCCACAGAATTCCCCAAACAGATGTCCCTCAAGTTGGCATCGGACTGTACCTCTTGTTTCTTCATGACTTTTCTGAGCCCTTTTCACTTTTCTGTTAGTGTGTCAGTGTCTGTGACGTTTTGCTTTGGTCCTTATTATGTGCTCTTCACCCCTCCGTGTAGATAAGCTCTCTCAGTCAGCAACTGCAGACATAGTTTGGTGATGGGAAGGGAAAGGTTACTTTATAGTGAAAGCAAATCTCTCACTGTACTGCTTTTACTGATCCAGAAATAATCCACTGATCTTCCTTGCTTCTTTGGTGGAAGAAATTCACTTCATCCACAGTCTGTGACACCGGTTTACAACTGGTGATAGATGTGTGTGTAACTCATGCTGGCCACACTGCTTTGAAAGAGGTCCAGGTCCTCTGACTTCTGCAGTGTTGCTGTAGGAGTGGTGTGTACTTGAAGATACAGTACCAGACATTGGTAAGTGATGTTTCTTTCCAATTATTAAAAGGTTCGACACATACACTACTTCTACTGAGCTTTTTTAATTAATGTATTGTTCTTCTTTTTTTAAAGCAAATGAAGAAACATCCGTGTCGACAATGTGACAAATCTTTCAGTTCATCCCATAGTTTGTGTCGTCACAATCGTATCAAGCACAAAGGCATTAGGAAGGTTTATACATGCTCGTAAGTTCTACTTTTATTTATTTAGAAACGGATTATAAACCAACAAAAAACATTGTTAATTGAATTTCTTTTCTTTATTGTATAAAAGCCAGTGTCCCATTCATTCAAATGAATCAGTATTTAGATACATAGACAGGCCAAACTATTTAGGCTATCCTGCATGCATAAAACATAGCAGGCTACTAAGAATGCATGTACATGAAGTCTGCTGTCTTTCAGGGGCTTTGGCAAGCAAATCTGAAACTACTGAGCTGAGAGTTTGCATGGCTGATTGTTATACAGAGGTGAACTTGGTTTTCAATAGTCTCTCAAATATACAACCCACTCTTCTAATCTACAAAAGCCAGTATTTGTAGTATTTTTCTTATACATAAACCAGAGTGTAATGTCAGAAAATCCTTAGTGATGTTTAAGTGGCTGGAGAGATGATACATAATTTAATAGAAAAGTCCATGTCAATTAGATAAGATACATAAAACAAACTTTCTGTCGTATCTCTTAATTCATAGTCTTGTATGTATTTGCATGCTGTGGAACCGAGTTTGAAGGTCTGAAAAGGATGCTGCAAGCAGCAGCCATTCTCTGTGGCTGAGATCTTACCAGTCCCTTCTCTGCCCTAGTATGATCTCTGCTTTGTTATGGGAAGCGCAAGGCCCACAAGGCCCAGCGGTGTGGAAACTTGAGACTGCCGTGCATAGCATAGCGTTCCAACCAAGTGCTTTATAACCCCCTGTCTCCCTGCACCATGGTTGCCTGACACAGCCCATGCATCAGGTTGTTTCTAATGTACCCTTAAGTTGTACTTCAGCCTTCATGAGCTGGCTAGCCTAGACACTATTTCTCTTGGTATATGACAAGTAGCAAGTGCCTGTTTTTGCATACTCCTTGAGCAGAAAGCTTATTGTCGTTCTCTCTTTTCGTCTCAGAATGCCTATAGTACTGTCTTTTTTTCTTTAATTTTTTTTGCCTAAATAAATGAAACGGCATTTAAAAAGCTAAAACCTTAGGAGAGAGACTCAGAAAGAGAGTATTACAGTTTTAACTTCTCCCCTGCAGTTCTTGTTTGGCCATCCCTCCTCCAGGCACCTGTACAATATGTTACAACATTGGAGCTCAGGAGAAATACACTTCCCAAAAGCACGTGAGAGATTTAGAAGTGATGCAGCTGGTTCTGTGCGCGAGACCAAAGCACAGATTGTGAAAGACAAGTTTGTTCTGCTGGTTAGTTTGATGTTGGAAAGGGGGCTGAGAAGGAATTACTGGTTCCAAGGAGATAAAGTATTTGGATTTGAATGCAGAATTAAGTGTCATTTGGAGCTAGCATTCATCCGACATGGAAGGTGATTGCTTTCCCTATGAAATTTAAATTAAGGAGAACTTGGGAAAGTGTCTAATAAAATGTGCAGTTTGGTGACGGTAGTAGAGGTCCGAGAAACAAACTCGGATGCTCCCAGGTTTTATTCTGACTCACACTTTGTACCATTTTGGATATTATCTTCAGAGAGCTTCTCATTTGTTCTGAATATAAATTGCTCAAATATTTCTAGTTTTATTTTGTAATTATGCTCATTTTCTTATAATACTTACCTGTGCAATTGATTGGAAAAACATTGTCACTATCTCAATAGATTGTACTCTAGTCTGGATTTATTTACTAGTCCTATTTATAATCTTGAGGATACTACGACTTATTGTTAAGCGTGACATTTGAATCTGTGCATGTCTGCTTTGTGTTTATGTAGGCACTGCCCAGATTCAAGACGTACTTTTACCAAGCGGTTGATGTTGGAAAAACATATTCAGTTGATGCATGGCATTAAAGACCCTGATGTGAAAGAAATGACTGAATCAACCAATATGGAAGAAAGGGAAGTAAAAGAAGACACAAAGGTAATCACTTAGAAGATTCATTCAGTCACTGAGAGTGAATTTTTTGTGGGTATATATTCAGGATCTTTAAATAAATGCAGGTATTTTGATCACATAAAAGTCTGATCTGTGAAGTAGAGCCCAAAAAATGTCTCAAAGGTTCCTGCAACAAATTCTGTTATGCTTGAACTAGAACATGTTTTTGGAAAGACTTTGTTTGGTTTGATCACTGAATGATGGAGAATATAACTTACCCCTTAGTGGTTTGCTTTAAGAGCACCTTTCAAATCCTCTGCACCAAGTCCTCTCGTAGCTGTAGAAGAGCTACAGGTTACATAGAAGCAATGTGACCTTCTTCCAAATACCCAGCCTTTGAGCTTATTTTTTAAATTTTACAGTGAAACTGCTTTCAACCTGATGATTGAAATACAGCAGGATCTCCCACTGTGCTCCCACACCTGGAGCATGTGTGCAGTTCTGGCCCCACCATTTAAGAGGATGTTAAGGTCCTTGAATGTGTCCAGAGGAGGGCAACAAAGCTGGTGACAGGGCTGGAAGGCATGTCCTCTGAGGAGCGGCTGAGGACTCTGGGTTTGTCTCGTTTGGAGAAAAGGAGGCTGAGGGTCAACCTCATGGCTCTCTGCAGCTTCCTGAGGACATGGACAGGGAGGTGCTGATCTCTTCTCCCTGGGATCCAGGGACAGGATGCCTGGGAACGGCTCAAATCTGCACCAGGGGAGGTCCAGACTGGACATGAGGAAGCATTTCTTTACCAAGAGGGTGATCAAACCCTGGAACAGGCTTCTTGGGGAGGTGGTCGATGCCTCAAGCCTGTCAGTGTTTAAGAGGCATTTGGACAATGCCCTTAATAACATGCTTCAACTTTGGTCAGCCCTGAGGTGGTCAGGCAGTTGGACTAGATGATTGATGTAGGTCCCTTCCAGCTGAAATATTCTATTTTATTCTTCTATTGATGATGAGTGTTAGGAGGAAAGCAAAAATAAGATGACAGTGCTGTCCAAAGACTTGTTACATGCAGAGATTAACAACATTTTTTAAGTGTTTTGGGCTCTAGATGATAAAGAATTTCACCTGTGACGGCATGTCCAAAGCTGACAGCAGAGACACAAACATATCTGGTTTTTAAAATGTACTATTGTCCTTTACATGACTCTCTTTCTGCACAACATATTGTCGTCTTATTTAAGTGTTGAAAATATGGCAGCTATATACATTGTCTTCATAAACATCATGGAGCATATCTGAGCTACGTAGGATGCAGAGGATTCTTGAGGAATATTCATGTCAGAAGAATAACAAGGAGAATATAAAAATGATCAGTTTAATTAGTTTAAAAAATTGTCCACGTTGATTCATCCTTTGGCAATATGTTAGTTTGGTTACTAACAATCAGGAGATAATCTGTCAAGTCAAATTTCAGGCATGAAATAATAATAAGTAATTAAAATGGAGTTCCAGAAGGTAGTGCTGAAAAGTTCCTAGACTGATATTCTACATTCTGTACACAATTGAAGACTCATTGGTGTGTGTACTTGGATGCAGTTACGCTGGCAAATACTTATTCAGGTTTATACAGTGTATTAGATACTGTAGCTCTATCAGAGCTGACAAAACAAATTTTACATGCAATTTATAATAAAGAAAACCCCTAGTTTTCCAACATGTACCACATATATTTGCTTGTATTATTTCAAATATTGTATTTACCAAAGTTGTACTGGAATCTCCAAGGGAAAGTTTTTGAAGTTTGCAAGTCATAAATAGTTATGAAAAGAACTGCATATTTATGCTTACATGATATACCATTTATGGCTTTTTTTAGGTTCCTAGTCCAAAGCGTAAATTGGAAGAACCTGTACTGGAATTCAGGCCTCCACGAGGTGCAATCACTCAGCCATTGAAGAAACTAAAGATAAATGTTTTTAAAGTTCACAAGTGTGCTGTTTGTGGCTTTACAACAGAAAATCTTCTCCAGTTTCATGAACATATTCCTCAGCATAAGTCTGACGGCTCTTCATACCAATGCAGGGAATGTGGACTCTGCTACACATCTCACGTGTCCCTCTCCAGACATCTCTTCATTGTACATAAGCTGAAGGAGCCTCAGCCAGTATCAAAACAAAATGGGTCTGGGGAGGATAATCAGCAAGAAAATAAACCCAATCATGAGGATGAATCATCTGACAGTTCAACATCAGACAGAAGATGCAAAGTGTGTGCAAAGACTTTTGAAACTGAAGCGGCCTTAAACACTCACATGAGAACGCATGGCATGGCCTTCATTAAGTCAAAAAGAATGAGTTCAGCTGAAAAGTGATCGGATTATTTGGGACACAGAAATCTCTCTCCACATTGGAATACTAATGACATTTTTGCTACAGAAAGTTCAAGGTATAATAGTGTTAACAGTACTGTTCAGGCTGTTGCAATATATTCTGCATAAAAGTGTCCCCTTCACCTCATTGTCTATACCCTCAAAACCATTGAAGCAGTATTTGAGTTGAAAAGAGTTTGTATATATTTAAACTAATAACTTTTATACTCTTTGTTATGTGTTTGTATTGGTATCTAGTGGAAAATTTGGGTTTTTCTGTTTTGTTTCCGTTTTTTTCTAGTAGGTTTCTTTAAAACAGAGTTCTGAATGCTGGGGCAGTTCCTTAGGTTCTCTTAACCTGTTTCTTATTTGAATGCTTCTGAAAGAAAGTTTAGCTAATGGAAGTGCATCAGAAAGCAATTCTTGGAGGGGAGTGGGGAGGGGAAACAAGCTAAGGGGAGATTTTAAATTCTCAGAACTTGCGCTTCTAAATGTCTAAAGAAGCTTTTAAACTTTCTCTTAAAAAATATATATTTAAAAAAAAAAAAAAAAAGAAGAAAAAGTACCACTGCATATGTAAAATGCAGTGCTGGTTTTAGGTGGCAACACCAGAACAGGTGCAGACCCCCTAGAATGATAAAGTACTTTTGAAAAGTATAATTGCACAACTCTATGTATCATGAAGTGATTTTTTAGGCCATCAGGTGCTTGTGATCAAAGCTCAAATTGTTACAAAAGGGCTGGGCTGCTCTGGATTTAACAAATAAGATGTAATTAGAGAAATAGGTTTATACTGATGATGTTTTTTGTCATGTAATTTATTAAACATTATATAGAAGCAAGTACACAGCATTATGTATTTTCCTTTATTTCTGGTTATTGAAAGAAAATAGTTAACGCTTGCTACAGCAGTTGGTATTTCCCAGCTCTGTATGCTAATGCCAAATGTTCTGGTGCTCAGTGTTACATACATCCACAACTGTCAAGAAGCTAACACACCAGCCTATGTAAGTATAATTGGGGCTTTCAGCTTTAGCACAGACCATATGAAGCTAGTTCAGCCATTTCAAACGTGTATCTAATATCACTAGTTATGCTTTCACAAAGTACAAAAAGGTACCATACTGTCCCTTTCATATATAGTTCTCTGTGAGAGTTATATTTTTGGTTTGTTTTTGCATTTTATACCTTGTATGTATCCCTAAAAAAAATTTTGTACTTTTTTTTAAAACAAATTGTGTATATATAGATAGCTGCATGATATACAGTAGTAATTGTTTGGTTCCTTAAAAGTCTTGCTGCTGTCAGATGTTACTATACACTATGTCCATTACAACTGTATTAAACACATTTCATATGTAAATAAATGTGGAGCATTTTGCCCCTAAAGATTTGTGAGATTCTGTTATTTATCATTAAATTTTAACAGTTTTAAAAACGGAAGTGTTTGAAAAAATATGGATCCTTCTCAGCCACCTCTGTAAAACTTCTTAATCACTCTGGAAATTGTGTATCTGATACATTAGTTCTGCTTTCTCTCTTCATCCTCATTCTTAATTTGGTTCATTGGTAAATGCTTGTTATCCCATTTATATTACTCGCATATTGAGTGGTTATGAGGTACTTCTCCATCCGAAAACATACAGCTGGCATTGCAGGATCTTAGTGTGTAATGTACACTGGCCATCACTGCCCTTTCCATTAAGTGTATACCTCTTTAACACTTGTTTGTTGATGTGCACTGTCAACTGTACAACAAATGAGTTATCACTATGCAGAATGGTGTTTTGTATACAGTGAACAGATAATAAAAGTTAAATTTTCACAGCCATTATTAACACTTTTGTTTATTTTCCCTTTTCATTGTCTCGCACCTGCAAGGGATGCTGTGAACCAGTAACTCACGCCATTGTTGGTGCTGCCAAGAGGCGAAACACCAGAAGTTACTGACAAGTCCTCTGAAAGCTGTTGGGCACGATGTGAAATCACTCCATGGTCACAGCCCACTTCCCAGATGTGTGCAGCGCAAGGTCCCACACTGCCTTTGCCCCCGTGACGGGCACCACATGTCTGCACGGGAGTTCATTTTGCCACGGCCATTGAGTGGAGCTCAGCTACTTAGCAGTACCCTCTATTCAGTTCTAATTGGAAGATCGATTTAACTCTCCTTCTAGTAATCTCTTGAAAGGCTAAGGGATAGTGGGTCTTGAGCTGCCCCATAATCTCTAGACACATTTCTGTGTCAGAACTTACACACACTTGGGTATGGCTGTAATGGTTCCTTTTGACAGGCAGAAATCCACTCAAGTAGGTGAAGGGGGTAGGAGCTCTTCTGAGGACCATGGCTTTTTCCAAATACCAGACCTGGGAAAAAAGAAGAAGAAAAAAAAGTTTTAGTCAGACAATTAATATCATAATGTTTCTCACCTAGTATTTCTTGCCTAGTCCTCCAGCTCCTCCAGATACTGGGGATTTTCCTTCTGTATCTTCTGAGTAATTCAAGATTCCTAGATAATAGTAATGAAAAAGGCCTGTTGGGTACCTCTCTCTCTTTCCAGGGCAGATTTCCAGTGTCCAAGCATTACTCTAGGAGTGGTGCTTCTGCCGGTTCCCTTTTGAGATTCTTCTGCTTGGAAGTTGGTCTTGTCCAAGCAGAGATTTTCTGGTAATGACCAAACTGTTTGTTTATTGCTATTTTACTTGATCTTGGGCAAAGAAAGTTTCGCATTTTATTTGGCTGACCCTTTCAGAAATCATGGCTCCTTTGCTCCTCAAAATCCCTCAGGGTAAGCTTGTCGTGGTCCTAAGCGTGCTGGTCTCATCTGCTTGCCCATCTAGCTCTCAGGGGACACGCACGCTTATCAGACAGAAAAGCAAAAGCAAGTAGTGGTCCCAAGTACAGCACAGGCACGTTGGAAATGTAATGCCTTATTAATGACCTAATTGTTTAATGACTTGGAGGGTGGATAGTCACCCGCCCCCTCTGTAACCAGCTGCTGGTTCAGTGACGGTTTCACTTTCTCTGCGGAGCAGAGGCTGAGCAGTCTCACTGCTGAGCAGGGGGTAACGCCACCACCCTTGCTGCAAGGCACATGTTTCAAACAGAAGGGGTTTTAAGGGACAAGACGGTGCAATATAGCCGGCAAGGATGGCACAGAGAAGGCAAAGTGTAAGAGAAGTTTTCTGTGCATTTGCATACCAATCAACCAGCAGCGAGCAGCTGGGCACAGCTACAGCACACTGGGAACCCGAGCAGAGCTGCTGGACACCTAAGGTAAAGGCAACAAAAAGAAATTAATCTGTGGCCTCTCTTCCTTTTCCATCCCAGCTGTTTGCTTGTGCAGGCTGAAAAGGGAGTAGCTATAACCTTAAAAGCACAGACTGGCTTCCAAGGCTTCTGCTGGGGCATAGCCTGAGCGATGACATTCACAGCTGCTGTCAAATTAAAGCCACTTCAGCTCGGTGTATGTTTGCCGTGAGTCCCCTCAAGAGCAGGAAGCAAGCCCTAAATTACAAATTCTCTGGAGAGGCTCCCAAAACATGGAAATGGGAGGAAGGACAGGAGAGATAGCAAGGCAAATCTCCTTCAGAGCATGCAGCAGGACCCCCATCAAGGCAGCTCATTATACCCGGTCCTCTGCAACAAGCGAACCCAAACCACCGGTCCCAGCTGCAGCCAGGCTCTGGCACGGAAACCAGACAGGCCTAAGCAGTGCGCAAACAGGGCTGGGAGAGCTGGGGAGGCCGACGCTGGCGCAGCGGCCACCCGCTGTCGGGAGCCTCCCAATCCCGAGCGTGCTGACGGCACCGAGCCTGCTTTGCCATTGCAAATACCCCAGGGACCCCTGGAAGACAGGGCACCCGCCGGTGCGCACTCTGTGTGTGGAGCCTGTACGTCAGGCCCTCCTAGCAGGGAGGTGACTCCCTGAAGACCAGGAGGTGAACAGCACGTTGTAAAGCAACGTGAGACACCAGTGAAAAGGCAAACATCTCAGTTTGCACGCCTAGGGGAATTATTTCCTCTTGTAAACTATAAAGAAAATATTTAAACACATTTTTACGTGAGACCTGACATTTGAATTGTTTGCTTTTAATTAATGGTGTGACACTGACAGTCAATTACAGTGATGACATTAATACTTCTCTTTTCTACACCTTTCCTCTGAGGATTTAACAATAATGGATTAAACCTCATAAAACCTCTCTGTGAGGTAGGAAAGGGATCATTTAGCCTCCGCTGTTTTGCAGCCATTCTCTTGGTGGAACACAGAGATACTTAACATTGCACATCAACTCTAGCAAGCAGATTAGAACAGAAATACTAATTAAGGCTTCGGGGAGCATTTAGGCAGGCAGAACAAAGCGTTAGTGTCAGGTCCGGGTTAACATGTGGCTGCTTCACCCTGTTCACCCTGTACAAAGGCAGGGATTTCTGGTCTCCATGGAGGCAGCGCCTGACAGGTATATATGTATATATATAACTCCTCCCGTTGCGTGCTTTCCCATTCAATCCCTTCTGCTCTTCAGCGAGGTAAGGAGTTCACTGAGACCTCTTCCCCGGCATCCAGCTACGGAAAAACTGCCTGACCAGGACTGCAACCACCCGTTCGGGAACGTAGTGACTACTCGACGGGAG